GTAGAAAATATCATCATCATCATCATTATATACTAGTACATACACATGTTCCTAGTGTACACTATAATACATTATACATATGTTTTATACATCATAGTTAGATCACTAGGTGAATCAGTACCTGATAATAAACTGGGTCTACTCTCTCTTCCATTTCTATTTCAATTTAAACTAGTTGTTTCTAAATAATCACATAAATATGCAACTGCTAACGGCTGACGTCTTGACACGATATTAACCAGTGTTGCTGGTACTCCTCCCATATCAACCTATTCAATGTACGTCATGTTTGACTCCATCCACAACCACACCCACCTGAACAAGATACATGACTTGTGTGAGTAGTTTTTCTTTATAGTGATAAGGTTCGATGACCCACCCACTCGTCATGACCTAGTAAAACTTTGTATATTCTAGTAATCTCGTTACATCTCTCTAACCTTTTCTATAATCTTTTCATTTCTTCCGTTACACTATTGAAGCTTATTAGGTCAGATACTGCCTCTGATACTTCTTTTAGACACATAATTTGACTAAAAATTTAAAAAATATTTAAAAATTTTTTAAATTTCTTCATACCTTATTAGCATCAAATTACTCCAAAATTGAAGCAATAGCTTATCTTGTAGTGATACTTTTAAATGACCTGAATAAAAGTTAATCTACTTAGAAATAAGTAATAATAAAATTATCTTTTAAAAATTCTACACTAAGTGCCTCCATTTCAACATGTGGTTATATAAACATAATAGATTATGTGGTCATAATCATCCACACTCCAGCTGCAAAATAACAACTGAGTGAGTTATTCCACCGTACCTTGTCCTGATGGACTGAGACTAACTCTGATGATAGACACTAGTCATAGGACTCAGCTGAATGCACTTCTATCTTCCTAGCAATGGAGGGGCAAGCGCCCTGGCTCCTGAAAGCAAAATTTAGAAAAACGGGAATGGCCGATGGTTGAGAATATTCCTATGATAAAATGCTATAAAAGCCAAAACAGCAACCAAAGAGCTTACAAAAGAGATAAATAGAGTATACTGAAACAAAAGGACAGCTCAAAGTGGCTCCCACAGCTAGAATGGATGGATAAAAGAGAAGATTGTTTAGCCTGTCTTTCCCTCCAAAAATCCACCATTTTACCACCACTTTGGTGGCGCGTTAATTAGAATCATTTCGGTGCATAAGGTCCATTCTATCTACTTATCCGTAAATTTTGCGGGGGTGTTTAAAACATGGGTCATGGGAGGGGCTGCGTATTTGTGGCTTTGCTTTTAAGAGATTGATCTTCTTTCTTCTTCAAGACTATAAGGAAAACAGCTCAGGAATTATTACCTGAAATTAAGTGAGTTGTTTATTGTCAATAATAGTGAGATTATTCACTTTTTCATAGGCAGCAATGGCAGCAAACACCAGTCCAGCTATCACTATGACTTGTGAGGTTTGTTCAGAGTATTACACTGACCCCCTCATGCTTCCCTGTCTTCACTCATTCTGTAAGAAGTGTCTAATAAAAGCTAAAGAGAAGCAAGGTAGTGCTG